CAGGGCTCGCCGCCCCGGGCCAGCAGGCACCCGCCATCTGTAGCGCAGTAGTGCGCCTGATTCTCGTCCAAAGCGCCAAGGTAGTCAGCCACCTCCGCGATGCCAGGGTCGTAATCTGCAGTCTCCCAGCAAGGAAGCCGAGGGCAAAGAGGAAGCAGGAGCCGCCGTTCAAGGGCAGTGCGCATCTCCAGCAACCAAGGCGTCGAAGGGCACTCGAAAGTCAGGTGAGTCCTTGTGGGGCCAGGGCGGCCACAAGTGCACCGCCGCGAGGTGAAGTCGATGTGCGCCGGGACAACGTGCCTGGCATCAGACGCACCGCCCACCATAACCCTGGCAAAGTAGCCCTCAACGTTGCCCGCCAAGGTCTGGTGGTGCGTGAGGTCGAAGTCAGCAGCGATGCCGCCCTCCTCCTTAACCTTAGTGTCGGCCTTGAAAAGCTTGAAAGCCCCATCCCTCCGAAGAAGCCGTCGAAGTGAAGCGGCACTGAGCGTGCCCGCCTTGAAAGAGCCCTGCCTGCACAGCCAAGTGTCCCCCGTGCGCCGCCAGCCAAAGTAGTCGAAGGCCGCCTGAGTGTTCGGAGCCTCCCTGGCGTGCCGAGCAAGGTGGAGCCGCCGGTGCTCCTGCAAGACTGTAGCCTCCGCGTTGACGTAGTCAGGGAAGAACTGCAAGCCAACAAGAGTGGTCCAGGCCAAAGCGCGAGAGCGGCCACGAGGGATGGCGCCTCCCCAAACTGCTCTCTCAATAGCCCCCGCCCACCGAGCCGTGAGCCTCTTGAGCTGGCGGATCCAAGGAGCACACCAGCGAAAGAGCGGAACAACCAACCGAGCCAGCAAGGCCCTGCGCACCGAGTAGGACTGCCCACAGAGCTGAATGCGCTTGCACCGGCCCTCCAGCCTATTGGTGATGCCCGAGGTGGCCACGGGCGCCTGCCGGTAGACGTTGTAGGGGACCCCGAGCAACTTGAAGGTGACCTGCTGCGGGACGCCCACCACCTCAGCAACGGCCAGGAAAGCTCTCTAGCTTGGCTGGATTAAACGCAAAACCCAGCGCCTCATCAGCAACAGCGCCCGCCTCGATGGCCCTCTGCACGGACCTTGCTGCTCCACGTAGTTGACGCGTCCAAATGGTCCGGTCATCGAGGTAGACAGCAAAGTTGCAGCGGGTGTCGGCCGCCTGGACCCGAGCCAGCCAAACTGCCATCATGGCATTCAGGGGGCTGAAAGGGCAGCCCTGCAAGAGAGCCGCCGCACCCTCAATAGGGGATCTGGAAAACATGCCATCCACCGAAAGCCAGCGAGTGTGCTGCCCGTAGAACCGGTCAATGACGTCCAGCATGGGCTCCGGGGCGCCCAATGCGCGGAGGCACAGGATGGCCAGCTTGGGGTCCGCGGTGTCGAAGCACTTCTTGACATCAGCCTTGCAGCCCGCAACAGGCCCGCCGGCCCGTTGGACAAACAGCGCGTGCGTGAGCCTGAAGTGGATGTCTTCAGCGCAGCGCCCGGGAAGGCCGCCAAACAAGTCCGGAGGGAAAACGGCCGTGATCCAGCCCTCCAACTGTTGCACCACTGCAGTAGCGCCCAACCTCCAAGCAAGTGCAGCAATGGCCAAAGGTCGCTGCCCACCCTCCTCCTTAGGGATCAAACACACGCGGACTTGGAGCCAGGCGGCCGGGATAGGAGCACCCTTCAGGACCAGGTTCCAGATGGCCGCCAAGGAATCAAAGAACTCCAATGGAAGCCCCCGCCACAGCCTGCCAGACCAATCATCACACCCAGCTGCCTTGCGAGCCGATGCCCTGGCCCGTAGCACTTCGCCAGAGACTTGAACTTCGGGAGCAGCGGCTCGAGGGAGGTGAAGGCGAGCAAGGAGGTCACGAAGCTGAAGTCCGTCAGGTACGATGCCAAAGTTGGCCCCAAACCTTTGCCGCCTGCTCAGCCTTGGCCTGCGGGTCAGGGTCGACCGCAAAGTCTGCCATTGGCGTCGGGCGCTCAGCCAAGGATGCCTTGACCCAACGCGACAGTTTCGGGAGGTCAGTCTTGACCTTCGCCTTCCAGCCTTCCAAGCGGGCCTGATTGGCCCTAGTTTCCTCCGCCTCAGCCGCGTGCTGCAAGTAAGCCAGCTGCTCCTCGCCCTGGTATTGCAGGAGGTCGCCAAGGTCCGGGTACGCGTCCGCGATGTGCCGGACGTAGCCAGCGAGCTTGCCCTTCTCATAGTCGACGTCCAAGAGCCCAGCACGCTCCTTTTGCAGCACGGCGGCAAGCCGCCTAGCAGCTCTGCGCAGCTTGCGCTCGCGGAGCGTCTGCACGGTGGGAGGTTTGGCAGCGTGGCCCTCAGTGAGCACAGGCCGGCCAGGCTCGCCCCGCGGTCGAGCTCTCCTCTGGTCCAAGGCGAAGGCGTCCTCGGCCTTGCCCGACAGAAGTCGCCACGCTGCCTCGGTGTTGCCCTCCTGCAAGAACGCGGCGAAGTCGTCCTCCACCTCCGTCCACGTGGCCCGCCAGTCAAACTTTTGCTCGCCATCCAGCAAGCGGCGCGGCTGCCAGCGCCAACCACGGGATGTCATAGGCCACGAGGTCATGGTCCGCAGGGCCCAGGCGTTGTGTAGGTGCCATCCTCGAGTCTGT